GGGGCGTCGGCTGCGTCTAGATGTGCACACCCACTGGCCTCAGAGGCGACCAGACCCCTGCCAGTGTGGCCGATCCGGTTCCGTGGCCTGCAGCAGGGATGGCAGCCTCAGGCGGTGTTCGATTGGAAAGAAGTCGGGAGAAAGCGGCTCGGACCCAGAGCCGGGGCTGTGGTGGGGAGGGGGTTAATTTGTCAGCCAAACCGCAGCGCTGAGTTCCTGAGCTAGGGAACCCCCCCCCCCCCCCATCACCCCCTTTGCTTCTGGCCCGGCTGTTCCTCCTCTGGGCGGCCTCTCCCCGTCTGTTCTCCTGTCACAGCAGCCTCTCCCCGGAGGCCAGCGTGCTCTCCCCGGCAGACGCGGAGCTGGGTCGCAGCTTTATCGGTGAGGGGAAAGCTGAGGCTCTGATGGTGGAGTCGCCAGAGGAGAGACAAACAGAAGCACGGGCGTGGCCCGCCCATGGGCGCCCGGCTTTGTTCCGGGTGGAGCGGGTGGAGCGGGAACATGCTGGAGCAGCTGTCACCGGGCTTCCTCCGTGTGGTTCCCACCCCTCTGTGTGCAACGGCCCTGACCAATCCCCGGGGCCGAGCTCATTCGCATGAAGGGATTACCGTGCGGTTCTGCCTTTACCGCCTGCCTGTCTTCTCCCGGAGTGTAAATCCCCGCCTCCTGGCTGCAGTCCTGGTGCTCAGATAAATGCTTTATGTTCTGACTTAGTCTGGAGCGAGTGCTGGTCGGAAGGTTCTTCACACGAAGCTGGACGCCTGGATCCTCCTGTAATGCCACCTCCTTACGGCGAAGCTCCCAGGGTTTCCAGCCAAAGAACTCGCAGGCTGGGCGGCCGGAGAGGACCCTGCCTGACCCCGCACCCAGGGAGGCCGGCGTGATGGGCGCCCCGGGTGTGTGCGGGGTCTCTGAAGGCCTCCGCTGCTGCCTCCGGGGTCAGCACGGTCCTGTGACCCCGCGCAGCCGGCCAGGCTTAGGTAACGGGACGAGGTGAAGTGACGGGTCCCCGTGCTTCAGTGTCAGGAACAGGCCTCCGCGGTAACACCGGCTCCCGGGTCCTGCCGAGCCGCGGGTGGCATCACAGTTACCGGCAAACGTCAGAGGGTCACCCGGCTGCTGCCCGACTCCTCCCACCTGGTCCCCGGGGTCACCTTGTCTCCGCCCGTCAGAACGGGACAGGGCTGGCCTGGCGGTCAGCGGCCTCACTGGGCGCCGAGGAGACTGTGGAAGCCCGTACTGCTTCCTAGAGCTGAGGGCAGCCTCTCAGCGACTGGCTTTCCTCCCCTCCAGTGGGCTTCTGTGGGCCCTTCCGCCCCAGTGGCCGTCCCCTCCCCTCCCCTCTCCTCTTCCTTTCTTCTCTCCCCTCCCCCTGCTCTCCCCTTCCCCTCCCCTTTCCCCTCTCCTCCTTTTCCTCTCCCTTCCCCTCCTCCTTTTCCTTTCCCTTCCCCTCCTCCTCCTCTCTTTTCCTCCTCCTCCTCCTCCTCCTCCTCCTCCTCCTCCTCTTCCTCCTCCTCCCTCTCTTTCCTCCCCCTCGGAACCGGATTGGACACAGCGCCCTATGTGCTGACTGCTCCCCGCAGGGGCACCGCGGGAAGGGCCCACCTGCCCGCTGGGTCCCCGGTCGCCAGATGGGCAGTTTGCATATTGCGGGTCAGCAGAGCGTGGCTCCCCTCACTCGCTCACAGGGGCGTAACCTCTGCTTTGCTGGTTCCTGCACCTGCACACCTGGCTGCCCTGCCCCGGGCCCGAGGCCTGCTGGGCAGGGCCTGCACCCTCCGGCTCTGCACCCGGTCCCCAGGGCTGCTCTCTGCACTGCAGAGCAGCCCTCCTTCCGGCGTCTGTCTCGGACCTGTCCTGGGCACCAGCGTTAACCTGGGGACCACGTTAGAGGGACGGGAAGGCTCTCTCGTTCCCTCCACCGATCGCCCTCTGCCGCCTTCTCCTTCCGCCCAGAGAGACCTGGCGGGCCTAGGCCCATAAGTAAACCTCAGCTGCACTGTCCTTCCCTGGCTCTCCCGGACCCGGTCAGTCCCGGTGCCGAGTGGGATGAAGTCACACTTCTTCAGGGCTCAGACACGTCCTGCCCCTGTCGCCGCCTCCCCCTCTCTAAGGTGTTCTGTCTGCAGCCACTCCTCACCTGTGAACTCATCTTCAAACATGGGAGCCTCCCTCTTCTCCCCCTCCCCAGTTTGGTCTGCGGGCGTGGAAGGCGGAACCCTCACAGGTGCCAGCCGAGGCCCCCAGGAGCAGGGGCCCTCAGACACAGCTCCCCCAGGCTCTGTCGGGGTGTCACCGGGTGACCCCGAGCTGGGACTGTCTGTCTACTTGTCTGTCACACAGCGTGGGAGCCGCCTGCGCTTCCCTCGGGGTGCGTGCGGCTGTGCGGTGCCTGGGGTGACGGGGGCGAGGGGGAACGCGGTCTCTGGCCCAGGCACGGGTGGCGGTGCCCGCGCCTCAGGCGTTGGCTGTGTGCTGTGTTGGTGGCGGAACGTGGGAGGGGTCAGGGAGGACAGCCCTTGAGGGTGGCGGGCGACAGGACCAGCGTGACATCGATGGCTCCCGTGGTCCAACCAGGCCAGCTCCCTGGCACATGTCCGCCCTTCTCTCCGGCTTGGCGGGGGGCTGGGGTGCGGGGCAGACTCCGCAGCGAACAGCTGTGGGCCAGTGCGGCTCCAGGACAGACTGGGATTCGCTTATTCTGTGAGCTGACCAGGAGTGGGTGGCCTCGCCAGGAGATTTAGCCGGCATGTGTACCACTATTTCTGTGGGAAAAGGGCCCTGACCTCCAGGTCACCAGTTTAGACACAGACTTTGGACCACGATCTGCTTCTAGGTTGGGCTGTGTCGGTGTTAGTCCATCAGCGTTCTTGGGGCCGGTGTGTGACCCCGTTTAGGGGCTGTGTGTATAGAACACTCGCCCGCGTGGACCCCAGGAAGACCAGGCCTACCGAAAAGGGCTCCTTGTGGCCCACTGGACAAACACTGCTGGCGGAGGCCCGTCACACTGGCTGCATCTCACACTGGCAGCCAGCCTCCTGCCCTGAGTCAGCCGTGGAGAGGGAGCCTCTAGGATAGAAACTCCACCAATAGGACCGAGACGCTCCCCGTCCAGTCAGAGCGGTGCAGCTATACCCTCATTCGCATCTTCACTGACTAGTCAGAGCAGCTTCATTCTGGCCAAGCAGTAAGGTGCTATTTGGACCAATCATCATGTGGAGCCCTCATTTGCATAAGAACGGACCAATCAGGAAATGGGGGCGGGTACACATTCCCCTGTAAACCAGCTTCACCTCTGCCTCCTTGCTGTTACACAGCCAAGCTGTTTTCACTGAATAAAATCTCCCCTCGCCGAAACCGGTGTGGCTCAGTGGATAGAGCATCGGCCTATGGACTGAAAGGTCCCAGATTTGATTCCGGTCAAGGGCATGTACCTTAGTTGCAGGCACATCCCCAGTAAAGGATGTGCAAGAGGCAGCTGATCGATGTTTCTCTTGGATCGATGTTGCTCTCTGATCGACGTTTCTAATTCTCTATCCCTCTCCTTTCCTCTGTAAAAAAAAAAAAAGAAATATGTTTTTTTAAAAAGTGCACAGATGGGACCACATTATACACAATGTTCTGCATCTTTTTTCTTCCTTATTCTGTGAGCGGTATTTCTTGGACGTGTTCCCATATCGGCACGCACACACCCACGGCCTCCCCTTTACCACCACAGCGTGTTCTTCTGTGCGAGCGAGTCCTCATTGGCTTTCTTGCTATGGACGTGGCGTTCATTTCTCTCTCTTTCCTGTTGAACACAATCCCCGTCAAACTCTTGGCCGGTGTCTGCCTTACGCGCTGTTGTAAGAGACCATTGATCGCCAGTATTTTGGCACCTGTCCTTCCATGTTATCTTCTCCTGTGGGGGACAATACACCGAGTGGCCAGGTTATGATGATCTCTGAACGCATAATAATCTGGCCACTCGGTGTCTATGCTCCTAGATACACTCTTTCGTTGGCTCTGCTTTTCTGAGCAAAATGTTCTCACCCTGTTACACGTTTCCTTACCATCCGATAGGACACGCCTCCTCCCATGCCGTTTGCATGCATTATTAATTGGTTAACCAAACACGTTCTTTGAAAATCTTGATTATAAGTAGCACGGCTCCACAATTGTTGCTCTCCTTTCCCCGGGATGCGTGGAACAGCCTGTGAGGTGATGGGCGTTTTAAGGGCTTTTGATCCGGAAGGAAACACCGTCTTGTGGAGACATCACATTTGTATTCCACACACGTCGTGTGGCGTCTCTTCTCTCGTGCCCCGGGGGATGCTGGGGTTTTGACAGATAAAACCACACCATCACACTTTGCACGTGTTTCACCGCTGATGGATTTTATCTCCTGGAATAGGTTTATTGACCTCGTGTGTTTCTCCTTGGAAGGATTCTCCCGTCTCTCTCATTTTCCCCCGTTGGGGATTTTTATCTTCTCCTCACTAAGTCACACACGCTCAGTGTTCTTTACAGACATCAGCCTTATACCGTGTCAGTGCGCGGCTCTCTGTTTGCCTTTGGGTTTGGTGAGGGATTCATTTTTGTGGCCTGGCGAGGAGGGCTGTACCTGCGGGGATGAGGGACTCTCAGGAGATCTGCTTCCCGCATCTTCCTTGTGTTAAGAGCTCAGGCAGGCAAAGCAGACAACACGGCTTTGCCCGGAGGAATCGAGTGATCTCTCCGGGACCTACATCAACGATGAGAGAGAATCATTGCTCGGCTGCCTCCTGCACCCCCCCCTCCCCCACTGGGGATCGAGCCCACAGCCCACGTGCACTGGGCCTCTAGCTGGGAGATAATTGTTTTCCCATGTTTCTTTCCCCTTTTAAGAAAGTTAAAGGAAAGGCCGGGGGGCCGTCTCCCTGTCACCGTCTCTCCGGGGCCCCGCCCTCCGTCCCCCGTGTCCTCTGTGAGGTCCCGCCCGGGCAGGGCGCCCCAGTGACCGCTGTCCTTTCTCTCTGCAGTGCGCGGAGGCCAAGAAGCACTGCTGGTATTTTGAAGGACTCTACCCCACATACTACATGTGAGTATCTGCCCGCCTGCTGGTGTGGTTCTGTGGTTACGGTTCCTGACGGGGCTGGTTATGGGACAGGAAAGCCCTGTCTTGGGAGGTTCTCACCCCCTTCGCTGGGGCTCCTGGGTCACTGGGTCCCGTCTGGGGCGCGTGGATGCAGCCGGGTCCAGGGTGCTGGCTGCCGGGTGTCCTGTGAATTAGCCCCCCACGGGTCACGCATCCATCCCTCCGGGTCCGTGGAGACCGGTCACCTCCACGCCACGGCCCGGGGGGCCGGGAGCGAGCGTGTGGGCGCCCTGAGGCTGAGGACGGGAGCTCCTCTGCTGGGGGGGGGGCGGTGTGTTCGCGACTGCCCTACCACCCGGGGGCGCTGGAGAGCCAGGCCAGGGGCGGGCGGGCCCCCTCCTGGCTGCTGTCCGCCCGGGCCTGAGGCCAGCCTCCTGCTTGGTGTGCAGGGTGGGAAGGGGTGGGTAGGAGGGGTGGGCAGGGCACAAACAGTGGAGCCTGCCATGGCGCTTCGGGGCTGAGGGCCCGTCCCTGGCCAGGGCCTTTCCCGGTTCCTCTGCGGGGGCAGGAACAGCCCTGAGTGTCCACAGGCGCCGGGGCCTCGGGCTGGGGTGGGGAGGGGTGGGGAGAGCGCGCACAGTGCCTGAGGCAGGTCCGTAGGGACAAGGGCACCAAGACGGTGACCGTGACCGAGTCCTGCCCTCCCACCCACTGTGCTGGGGGAGCGAGGCTCCCAGGGGCGGAGCGACTCGCCGAAGTCCCGTTAGTGGCGGGACAGGACGAGCCCCCAGCCGGCCTGGCCCGTGGCTGTCTTCCGCCCCTGCCCCTGGGAGGGCTGCACCCCCTCTTTGGACCGTCAGGATCGGCCGGCAGCCAGCCTGTGGCAGGACCGCAGGGGCAGCGCTCCTGGGCCGTGGCGCTGCCCCGCAGGAGCCGTCGTGGGGGCCCCGCCGGTGGGACGCGTGGTGCTGTGGGTCACATCGGCGTGTCCGCCTCGCACCTTCCATTCGGGCCGGGAGACGCACGGCGGTCAGCATGGCCCTTGGCGGCCTGCAGTGGTGGCCGACCCCTCTGCCCTGCCCTCCGCCCGGGCCCCGGCCCGCCCGGGCCCCGCCCCTGCCCGGGCCCCGGCCCGCCCGGGCCCCGCCCCGCCCGGGCCCCGCCCTCCGCCCGGGCCCCGCCCCGCCCGGGCCCCGCCCCCACCAGGGTCCCGCTCCCGTCCGGCCCCGCCCTCCGCCCGGGCCCCGCCCCCGCCCGGCCCCGCCCCGCCCGGCCCCGCCCTCCGCCCGGGCCCCGCCCCCGCCCGGGCCCCGCCTCCCCGCCCGAGCCCGGGCCCCGCCCCGGCCCGGGCCCCGCCCCCGCCCGGCCCTGCCCTCCGCCCGGGGCCCCGCCCTCCACCCCGGCCCGCCTCCGCCCTCCGCCCGGGGCCCTGCCCTCCGCCCCGGCCCCGCCCCGCCCCCGCCCGGGCCCCGCCCCCACCAGGGCCCCGCCCCACCAGGGCCCCGCCCCCGGTCCCCGGTCCCGCCCCTGCCCGGCCTCGTCCCCTGCTTGGGCTCCGGCCCCGCCCTCCGCCCGGGTCCTCGCCCTCCGCCCCGGCCCCGCCCTTGGCCCGGACCCTGACCACCCGGGCCCTGCCCTCTGCCCGGGCCCCGCCTTCCGCCCGGACCCTGACCACCCAGGCCCCGCCCTCCGCCCCGGCCCCGCCCTCCGCCGGGCCCTGACCCCGTGCCTCTCCGCAGATGCCGCCCCTACGAGGACTGCTGCGGGTCCCGGTGCTGCGTGCGGGCGCTGTCCATCCAGCGGCTGTGGTACTTCTGGTAGGTCACCCACAGCGGCCCCTCCGCGCCCTCCCCGTCCCTGGCTCCGGCGCCTCCAGCAGGCGGTGTCCGCTCGGCCCCGCGGGGGCATGTCTGCCCCAGAGCTGCGGCGCCCTCCCGGTTCCCAGGCCGTGGTGGGGGCGGTGGGGGGACAGAGAGGGGGGCTGATTCCTTGGGATGGCGGGCGGACGGCACCTCATCCTGCAGCAGCTCCTGGCCAGCTTCCACAACAACACTGAGGTCAACTCTTTAAAGATTTTTATTGATTTTTTAGAGAGCGGTAGAGAGAGAGAGAGAGAGAGAGGGAGAGAAACACTGATGAGAGAGAGAAGCATCATCAGCACCTCCTGCACACCCGCTACCGGGATGGAGCTCACCGCCCGGACTGTGCTTTGACGGGATCCAGCAGCGGCTCCTCTGTGCAGGGGACAAGGCCCAGCACAGCCTCACCGGCCGGGGCTCAGCCCCGGAACCAGTCTGCCAACGTGCGATGAAATGCCTGCTGCCTCGCCGTCTTCCCCTCGCACGGGGCCTGCTGAACCCCTGCGCCCAGGACAGACTGGGCCAGCTGAGCCCTGCAGGCCTGAGGGGCGGGGTCTGCACGGACCCTCAGCCGGGGCTCGAGGCGGGGCTCTGGAGCAGCGGGCCTCGGGCCCGGGGTGGCGGCCGGCCTGGGGCCCGGGGTGGGGGCCGGCCTGGGGCCTGGGAGTGGGGGGCCGGTCTCGGGCCCGGGGTGGGGGCCGGCCTGGGGCCCGGGGTGGGGGCCGGCCTGGGGCCCGGGGTGGGGGCCGGCCTGGGGCCCGGGGTGGGGGCCGGCCTGGGGCCCGGGGTGGGAGCCGGCCTGGGGCCCGGGGTGGGGGCCGGCCTGGGGCCCGGGGTGGGGGCCGGCCTGGGGCCCGCGGTGGGGGCCGGCCTGGGGCCCGGGGTGGGGGCCGGCCTGGGGCCCGGGGTGGGGGGCCGGTCTCGGGCCCCGGGTGGGGAGCCAGCAGCCCTGGCCCTCACCGCCGGCGCCCGCTCCCAGGTTCCTCCTCATGATGGGCGTGCTCTTCTGCTGCGGAGCCGGCTTCTTCATCCGGAGGCGCATGTACCCGCCGCCGCTGATCGAGGAGCCCGCCTTCAACGTGTCCTACTCCCGGCAGCCCCCGAACCCGGCGCCAGGTCAGCACCTCCGTCCGCGCCCTCCCGCCGTCCAGCGTCTTTCTGAGCATTCTGCTTTCCCGTGGCTCCCGGGACATGGCCCACTTCACCATCCCCGGTCCCTCCCCTGCCCCCTCTGCATTCTCCCCGGCCTCCTGGAACCTGGGTCTGTTCCCTCCTCGGCCTCCTGGAACCTGGGTCCGTTCCTGTCGCGAAAGTCAGGCTTCCCTACTACCCTTCCCTAGGCCTGGCCTGTGTCCCTCGCTGGACCATTCCCCGCCCAGCCCTTCTGTAGCCCCGCCCTCCCCCCTTAGCCCCGCCCTCCTGTAGCCCCACCCTCCTCCTGTAGCCCCGCCCTCCTGTAGCCCACCCCATCCTATGGCCCCGCCCCTTTCCTGTAGCCCCATCCGGTAGCTCCGTCCTCCTCTAGCCCCGCCCTCACGCAGCCCCGCCCCTCTCCTGGAGCCCCGCCCTCCTCCTGGAGCCTTGTCTTGCGCCCTGGGACCTCTGTCAAGCCCAGAAGCCAGCCATTCCTATGTAGCCCTCTCCTCCATCCCGTGCATCCCACATTGGGTGTGCCCCCAGGTCCCTGAGGTTATGTCCCCAAATACCTCTGATTCTCAACTCCCCACTTCGTCTCCTGTAGGAGGCTTCCACTGCCTTTCCCGGACTATCACAAAGCCTCTTTTTTAACGTAAAGATGGAAAGGGATCCGGAGGCAGATGCAGCATCACCTCTGCCTTCGGGAACCTCGTGGTCACGGGAGGGGAAGGCTTGTGGGCAAACACGGGGCCAGGAGCCGGCGCCTCACCGTGTCGGGCGGCCGAGGCGGGCGGAGCCGGGGCGGCGGGCGCGGGGCGTCTGCGGGGCTCACACTGCTCTCCGTCTTCCAGGAGCGCAGCCGCCGGGGCTGCCCTATTACACCGACCCCGGAGGACCCGGCGTGAACCCCGCCCTCAATCCCATGGCGATGGCTTTCCAGGTTCAGCCCAACTCGCCCCAGGGGAGCGTGCCCTACCCCCCGCCCCCCTCCTACTGCAACACGCCCCCGCCGCCCTACGAACAGGTGGTGAAGGCCAAGTAGCGGGGCGCTGCCTGGGCTGGCCGGGACCGGGGCGCGGCGGACACGGAGGAGCCCTCGCCGGCCGCCCGCATCCCGTCAGGAGCCACTCGGGCACGCCCCTCGGTGACACCTTCCCAGCAAGCACAGCCCCTCCCGTTTTCTATAGATGACCAATATCCGATATGCCCGCGTCCGTTTCTGACGTCGTCTGTGCTCCGGCGGAGTGTGGACAGCCTCGGGTGTCAGCCCACAGCCCGGGCGGGACGAGGAGGCGGTGCCGGGGAGAGCCGGGGCGCGGGGAGAGCACAGGGAGATCCCTCCCCAGCTGGACCGAGGCCCCACACGGCCAGCTTTGGGGCCTCTCGTCCCGTCCGTTTTCCTCTTGAAGAAGCTGCTAGAGAGACGTTTGGTGGACAAGGAGCCTCCGCACTGTCTGCTTCCATCGCTCCCCAGAGAGGGGAGACGCCCCTCTGCCCGGCCAGGGCTGGGGGTGCAGCCCGGAGGGTGTCTGCAGGCCTGTCCCCCGTGGCAGGCACCCGAGGAATGCTCTTCGCGTGCGTGGGACGTTGCGTGTAGGAGCTGCTCTGACGCGGGGAGAAGTCCCGTTCCCCCCTTCGTAGTGCATTTAGGGAAGTTCATGTCGAGCCCTGTCCTTTGAAGTCTGACTCTCCTAAGTGTCTCCACCGGATGCCAGCAGCTCCCTGCTCTCTGGTCCTGACCGCCCGCCTCCCCGGCACCTCTGCCCTGGGTCAAAGCACAGGCCCCGCGCAGGGTGGCCGGCCAGCGGGCAGGCGGTGGGCGGGGCTGTGTGGCCCGTGTGGTCAGCAGCTGCAAACTCTGCTCGGCAGCTGTCCCCAGGGCTGTGCACAGCCTCCAGGATTGCAATGGCCGCCCCAGGGCCGTGGACAGTGAGCGGGGGTCCGTTCCTGTGCGTAGTTAGTGATGCCTCCCATGTGTGTGAAGCCGGACGGAGCCCTGCTGGCTAGTGCGTAGGAGGGCAGAGCCGTGTAGCCAAGATGTAGGTAGATCGCTGTCTGTGTGGCGGGTCCTCGGCGGGGTGGGGGGTGGAGGGAGCCTACTTTGGAAAGGAACTAGTCGGAGGCTCTTGAGAGAGAGTTACTCGTTGGCCTGGAGCATCCAGTTTCCTGGGGAATGCCAGGGGAGATGCCTGGGACCAAGCCAGTGCCCTGGGAAGCAGTTGGTGAGCGCAGACTTGTGCCTGGGTCTGTGGTCACCCTTGTGCGACCTGTGAGCCCGTCCCCCGGGTCCTTGAGTGAAATGAGTCGACAAAGCACAACATTTGCTGTTTACAACCGACGACGACCTGGGTCTATCAGCTCCTCTTCCTCCAGGCCATTGGTTTTGCATTTTTCACTTCAATCGGCCCCTTTGCTTTTTTTCTAAAATAACGAAGCACACGCGAGCCGCCCCAGCCTGGACCAGGTGCGGGTGCAGAGGCCCCGGTGTCCCTGCAAAACCTTGTGTGCCCTTTGGATGGCAGGCGCCTGGGCGTCCCGGCAGCGCCGGCAGTTTTGTATCCCGCGTTTGTGTGAGATGCGTTCTCTTCTGTTCTCTTGGAGAGGGCCCTGTTTCCTCTGTTCGCAGAATAAAATCGCCTTTGGACGTGTGCTGTGATGTTTGCCTGGGAGACGGGAGGAGGGCGGGGTGGAGCAGCTGCAGAGGAGGCACCTGCAGTGGATGGTTCCCTGGGTGGGTGACGCAGCCAGTCTCGGGAGAACTGGACGTTAGACGCTATCTGAGAATATAAGAGAGTTTTGGTTCATCACATTTTATTTGAAAAATATTTTCATTGATTTCTGAGAGGAAGGGAGAGGGAGAGAGAGAGAAATGAGAGTCATTGATCAGCTGCCTCCTGCATGCCCCACACTGGGGATTGAGGCCACAAACCTATGCCTGTGCCCTGACCGGGAATCAAACCGTGGCCTCCTGGTTCCTAGGTTGATGTTCAACTACTGAGCCACACCTGCCGGGCTCACCAACAAGTTTTTAAAATCTAAGGAAAAGCGATCTGAAGCAGCTGGGAAGGGAGGGGCAGTGATTAGGGAAATGCACAGCTGACACCTACACTAGGTCTCCTGGCTGGGACAGCTTCCCACAGGCAGGTGAGCAGGATTTTATGCTGTAGCTCTGCTTGCACGTCACACAGACCTATTGGCGGGGTTACGTGCCACAGCTGGCTGCACTTAGATGAATCAGCGTGGAGATCACGTGGAAAAAGAAGCATCTTATATCCTGCTCTCTGAAGACAGCACAGGAAGTGGGCCAGACCGGGCCAGCAGCTTGTGGTAGCTGAGCCAGAGCTGGCTCCCATGCCTCACTGGGCAGCGGCCCAGCCACCAGCGCCCCCTACACATGGACACAGGGTCCCTTGCAAGGCCCGGGTCAAGACGAGACGGGAAACTGAGGCTCGCTTTTATCTGCCTCTCACATTGAACTTCAAAAAGTGAGTAGTGGCCCTGGCTGCTGTTGCTCAGTGGCTAGAGCCCGCACACCAAAGGGTCTCCGATTCGATTCCTGGTCAAGAGCATGTGCCTGGGTTACAGGTTCAATGTGGAGTTGTGCAGGAGGCAACCAATCGATGTGTCTCTCATATCCATGTTTCTCTCTCTCCCACTCTCTCAAAATCGATTGGGTGAGGATTAAAAAAAAAAAAAAAGTCTGCCGAAACCGGTTTGGCTCAATGGATAGAGCGTCGGCTTGGGGACTGAAGGGTCCCGGGTTCGATTCCGGGCAAGGGCATGTACCTGGGTTGCGGGCACATCCCCAGTAGGGGACGTGCAAAAGGCAGCTGGTCCATGATTCTCTCTCATCGATGTTTCCAACTCTCTATCCCTCTCTCTTCCTCTCTGTAAAAAATCAATACAATATATTAAAAAAAAATGTCCATAGTGGCTCTCAAGGCACGAATGTAGGAAGACGAGAACTTCGAGTAGTTTCTGCACTCGAAGAAGGCCGATGTGAGCAGACAGGAGCGGGATCTGCGGAGGAGGCGGCTGGAGACGCTGAGGCCCAGCGGGCGCGGGGCGGGTGGCGCGGGCGGGTGCGGGGCGGCGGCCTGCCAGGTGCCCTGGGGACAGCGAGGCGGAGGCACCTGCCCCGCGGCCGGCCGGGACCGGGCGCTCTGGGTGGGGCGGTGCCCAGGCCTGAGCTGCTGGCGGCCTCATTTCACTTGGGGAAGGGGTGAAGGGGCGTCAGCACCACATGCTCCTGGACAGCGGACCCCTAGCTTCCGGTTCCTGTGTTCCAGTTCCGCTTGTGTCCCCATCCTTTGGTTCCGTGCATAAAGGGGAGGGCGAGACTTTGGTTCCGGCAGCAGCTGCGGGTCAGAGTTCTCTCCGCTGCACCTGCTTTGGCTGCGTGACATGGGTTTGGTTCTGTTGTCTCTGAAAAGCTACTCAGTGTCTCCACAAACAGGACAGGACCATTTTGAGGTGCTTCTGAGGTTACACATCTCTCCTTATCCTTTGGCGTGTGTGTGTGTGTGTGTGTGGTGTGTTGTGTTTGTTTTTACTAGTAAACCATGTCTTTTGTCTGTACCCACAGTGTGGCATTTGCAGATGGCATCTCCAAGGTGTTTGCATTTTGTGTGCATTGGTAGTTCTACGGAGAAGTGTGACTGGACTCAGATCCTCCTTTTGTTTGGAAATAACACTTCAGAGATGGTGGGTGTATTTCCAGAGGAACACGGTTTCTGCTTGTGTCCAGCTAGCCGCTGACGGTTATTGCTGGGGCTCACTGACTGATTATGTCTGAGCAGTAACATTTACATTATAATGTCCCAAGAAATACATAGCAGATTGAAGCATCGAGAACCATAGTTGCTTGAACGTGGTTTTAAACAGGAATGTAAAGCTCACGTGCGTGACTTAATGCTTAGATTTGGAGCACACCTTTGCTGTCCTTGTCCATTAAGATGTTGTGCAGTTACTTCACTGCACATTCTCATGGCTTACCTCCCTCACCCTCCAGCGAGAATGGGCGATAGTTCCCTTTTCATCCTTGACCTGGAAATACCTGTAACTCAGGCCTCATGGAATGTGTGCTCCACAGCCTAGCTGTGGTATGACCTTGGGCGGCCTCTGTGCCCCACGTTGCCTCACAGGTAGAGATATGTGGGAAGGAAGCTGCCACACAGGCCCCTGTGGGGCCGGATGAGTCACCAAATGCGATAGGCTTATCGAGGACTTCACACAGTGCCCAACTCTACAGTCGATATTGTGCATTAGCGATGCCTTGCTCTCAAGAGCTTAACCCGCTAAAGGCGGGGAGAGCCTAGAGTAGAGTGGAGAGTCACTGTGGCCATGCCCCTTGAGTCAGCCTCTGGGAACAGTACCGATGAATCATATGTGCTGACTGTAAATGAGACACCACGCCCCCTAGCAGAGCTGGCCATCTGTGGTTGGGTGTGGGTGAAGCTCAGCACCTAAGTGGGAGCGGACAGCAACTCCCTGAAGGATTGTGATTCCAGAAAAAAACACATGGGTGTGGGGCTGGAGCCACAAAATCCCATGAAAGCTGCCTTCCTGGGGCTGGGGCCAGCCCGCTGCTTCAGGGCTGGGGGAGGGGTGCCAGCCAATAGAGGCAACCAGTCCACCACCACAATCCTTTCCCCGCCAGCAAGCATCATCTGAGGTTGCCCTTACTCCCACAGTTCACAGAGAAGGCGACACTGAGTTTGTGAGCATGTGCATGATGTTAGGTTCTTGACTTGGATTATGTGATCTCATCTTCCCAACAGCTCTGGAAGGCAGAACTGGATGTGGCATCGTGAGTCCTGAGCCCACAGCAGGGAAAGCAGGAGCCTTCCCCCAGGCAGTTAGCCAGGCCCTGGCCCTGGGCTGTGGGTGGGCAGCACCCAGGGCCTCTGGGTGGCAGGTTTGGCCGATGGCTGTTTAGCTGCCAGTCAGCTCTGTGCAGGCCTTTCCTGCCACCCAGCAGTGTCTGGCCCTCCCCTTCCTAGAGCTTCTGTTCTGGAAAGAGCGCTGGCCTTTGGCCCAGAGGACATGAGGTCAGGGTGAAGGTCAGAGTGCCCTCTGGTGAAGACGGCCCCTGGCTTGCTGCCCCCTTCCCCTCTGCGACTTGCAGCAGGAGATTAGGTACTGGCTGGGCAGGTGCTGGTGGGCTCCAGAAACAGGCCCAGCCACGTCCACCCTGTGGGCAAGAGTTTCCAGTGAGCTTCAGGCACCCTCCCCCCCCCCCCCCCCCCCCTCAGCTCTGGGAGGTTGTGCAGCCCAGAGCTAACCAGCAGAACCTCTGACAGGAGAAACTAAAGCCAGCAAACAGGACACACCAAATCAGATAAAGCCAGCTAGCCAGCGAGCTGAGCATGGCTGGAGAACCACACAGCCCACCCACCGGTCTCCCTTATGTCCACAACCATGTGGGCTCCGGATGCCACCATGCCGGGCAGCCGGGGTCCAGACCAGCCTTCCTGGGGTGACAGAGGAACCAGGGAGCCACGGCAAGTTCTGCTGAGGGGTGGGATCCTCAGGTGAGCACCAGCATCACCCTAGACTCGGCAGGAGACGCCCTTGGGCCCCACCTAGACCTACGGATCCCACGGGCCCAGGAGCCTGAGTTTCCACAAGCCTCCAAGAGACTGCTGAGCGTGCTGGCTTTGAGAGCCGCTGACTCACCCTCCTCCGTCTCCTGGCGATATTCACACTTTCTCTTCTCGCTCCTGGTCCTCACACCTCCTCCTCCACCTTCGCTCAGCAGATGCCCCGCTGAGAACACCGAAGAAATCAGACTTCCACCGCGCCCACCGCCCCTCTGCGCCCACCAGCGTCTGCGCCCATCTGCGAGCCAGAGACGTGGAATGCAGGCTCCAGCTCTGCGCCCGCTGGTCTGGGCCTGGGCACCAGCTCCCCCCGCTACCCCCTTCCTGTGCCATGTCACGTCTCAAACACGGCCCTCTGGGTCCTGCTCACGGATTCACAAACACGCTGAGTTTTCCGAACTTAAAAAAGTGTATTCTTCATCCCCTTTCTCTCACCACGGACAACTCTTTCCTCTCCGAAGAGCGGATCCCTCTTCTCCCTCCCTCCCCCTCATGGCTTCCAGAAGAGCACAGCCCGACCCAGGGCTGCTTCTTCCCCACCCCCCTTGCTGGGCCTCCTCTCCTCCCAGCCCCCATGCTGCTGGGCTTCCCTGTTCAGCCCAGAGTGCTTCAAAGACACAATAGGCAACCCACTCCAAAATGCCATGTGCCTGACCGTGACCCTGACCCTACCGAACCCTGACCTTGACCCTGACTGTGCCTGACCCTGGCCCATGCCACGTCCCCTCCACCTGCTGGCACCCAATGGGGAGGAGGAGGGTGTGAGGCCGCCTGGCCGAGAGCAAACCTGAGTGTGAGCTCCTGAGTACTGTGCCCGCACCCTCCCTGTCCCTCACATGCCAGCCCAAGACAAGGCCAACACGGAGGGTGCGCAGTGACCAAGGTCACCCTCACTCTGGGCACATGCGGCCAGGACGCGCCCCTCTGGCTGGGAGGCCGAGTCCTGTGCAGCCCCCAGGCCTCCCTGGGACACGCGACGGCACAGGACACCGCCTCGTGGGCCGAGGGACCCCGTGCGCGGCTGTGTGTGGGTGAGCGGCTGTGTGTGGGTGAGCGGCTGTGTGTGGGTGAGGCTGGGGACCCCGTGAGTGGATGCCTGTGGGTGAGGCTGGGGACCCCGTGAGCAGCTGTGTGTGGGTGAGCGGCTGTGTGTGGGTGAGGCTGGGGACCCTGTGAGCAGCTGTGTGTGGGTGAGCGGCTGTGTGTGGGTGAGCGGCTGTGTGTGGGTGAGGCTGGGGACCCCGTGAGTGGATGCCTGTGGGTGAGGCTGGGGACCCCGTGTGCGGCTGTGTGTGGATGGGGTGGGAGCAGGTTGACGGTTGGGCTCTCACTCCAGATGCATGTCCTCCGGGTGACAGGGCCTGGCTGCCCAGGAAGCCCCTTAAAAACAACCTTGGGGATCTGTGACCAGGGACGTCCCCGGCCCCACGTGGGAACAGATGTGACTCGGACACAGTGTCTGTGTGAAGGCTGAGCCGTCACGTCCATCGGGCCGGCCCGGGGCCCTCAGCCTCGCCGGGAGCGCCGTGACCTGCCTTCCGCGCTGACCCCCTCTGTGAGGGCACAGGGGCTGCTGGCGGCCAGACAGGCCCAGGCCCGGGGCCTCGGTGTCTCCCTGACCCTGCCTCACGCGCAGTGAGCCGTCCCAGACCAGCCGTCCCGAGGGAAACCTGCTAGGCACTGAGCCCGTGGCAGGACGGGGGGCACGCACGCCCACCCAGAGCCGTGCCCGTTTACACGCACATTCCCCCAGGTTCTCACTGGACTGTGTTTCCCGTGTGGACACGTGAAGACCAGCACATTCTATGCTTAACACGCGTCATCATGAGCCTGTCATCCCCCAGTGGACAAAGCACAAGACGCCTGGATCCCGAGCAGATGCCTCCGTAACTGACCAAGTGTGACAGTTTAATCGCAGGGACCCGGGACAGAGACCTGCCTGCCGGTCGCCTTCTGGAACTTCTCACGGAACTTAAAGCCACACACACAACGCGGACGGACGGGGAGCCGAGGACTGCCCACGCTGGGCCCGGACACACAGCTGCCACGGAAGGTTCACCTGGAGCCGCCCGGCTCCCGAGGCCACGCGGCTGAGACGGCCAGGGGAGCGGGAGGCGGCGGCTGCTCAAACCGCCGGGTGAGCCGGGCCGGTGGCTCAGTGGTTGGAGCGTCATTCTTGTACATCCAAAGGCTGCAGGTTCGAGTCCCCGTCAGGGCACGTGCGGGAGGCAATCTCTCTCCTCACCTCTCCTCTCTCTCTCAGCCAGCAAAACAGATCCTCGGGTAAGGATGTAAAGAAAATAAAACAACAACAACAACAAACAACACCGAGGTGAGCACTGAATCCTGGAGGGAAGGCTGAGCCCTGGGCCCCTGCAGCCAAACCTTCTCACCGGCTCCGCTTCCGGGCCTGGCGCCCTTCCCTCCTGCCGGAGGCGCAGTGTGAGGTGCGGGTGTGAGCACTGGTGCCGCCCGGCCCGGCCCGCCCCGCCGGGAAGTGCCTCACAGAGAAGGGGCTGCCACGTGTCCCGGGGCCAGCTCCGCGCGAGGGCACGGAGGGCCTTCTGCCTAGCACAGCTGAAACCCACACAGCAAACACCAGGGACATGCAAACGCGGAGAGCTGGGTGTGAGGACGGCGTGGCCGGGGGTGGGGCTGTGACGGGCGTGACGGGAGCGGCCACTCGGCGCCAGGTCCAGGGCCACTGCACACAGGGCCGGCTTCCCGTCAGGCACCGAGCAGTCTCGTGGCTTTTGGTCCCGATGGGGCTCTGAGGAGTCTTTTTACATCTTTTTATCCGTCTGCGAAGGGCTAAGTTCAAACGCCGGGAACCGGGATGTCTCGGGGGTCAGGACGTCGGAGAGAAAGTGGATCGCACCAGCCATGCCTGCAATCAAGGGGTCCTTTACGAGGGGCACTGGGCGGGACAGCCCCCAACCCTGCTGGTCAGGAGCCACCCGAGGCAACAGTCACAAACAGCACACATGCTCGCACATACACACACACACACACACACACACACCCCAGGGCTCTCTGTAGGCTATTTTGCTTTCTTGGGTTATGGTCACATGCTGTGCCTGCAGCAGACTTACCATTGTTTTCCACTTCCTGTCATTGCTTGTTTTCCAGAACTTTCTTCAATATTCTCATAACTTTTCCCAACTACCAGTATTTCCAGGTACTAATGCTTTTTAAATACTAATATTGATCAGTCACATTTGTTTATGTAACTGAAGTGATTGGATACATGTAAGCAGCTAACTAATGAGGTCCTGTAGCAGAGCACGGCACACACAGCGCCGCCCAGGGTGCAGAGCACGGCACACACAGCGCCGCCCAGGGAGCAGAGCACGGCGCACACAGCGCCCAGGGAGCAGAGCACGCCACACACAGCACCGCCCAGGGAGCAGAGCACGGCACACACAGCACCGCCCAGGGAGCAGAGCACGGCACACACAGCGCCGCCCAGGGAGCAGAGCACGGCGCACACAGCGCCCAGGGAGCAGAGCACGCCACACACAGCACCGCCCAGGGAGCAGAGCATGGCACACACAGCACCGCCCAGGGAGCAGAGCACGGCACACACAGCGCCGCCCAGGGAGCAGAGCACGGCACACACAGCACCGCCCAGGGAGCAGAGCATGGCACACACAGCGCCCAGGGAGCAGAGCACGGCACACACAGCACCGCCCAGGGAGCAGAGCACGGCGCACACAGCGCCGCCCAGGGAGCAGAGCACGGCGCACACAGCGCCGCCCAGGGAGCAGAGCACGGCACACACAGCGCCCAGGGAGCAGAGCACGGCACACACAGCGCCGCCCAGGGAGCAGAGCACGGCACACACAGCGCCCAGGGAGCAGAGCACGGCACACACAGCGCCGCCCAGGGAGCAGAGCACGGCACACACAGCGCCGCCCGGGGAGCAGAGCACGGCACACACAGCGCCGCCCAGGGTGCAGAGCACGGCACACACAGCGCCCAGGGAGCAGAGCACGGCACACACAGCGCCGCCCAGGGAGCAGAGCACGGCACACACAGCGCCGCCCAGGGAGCAGAGCACGGCACACACAGCGCCCAGGGTGCAGAGCACGGCACACACAGCGCCGCCCAGGGAGCAGAGCACGGCACACACAGCGCCGCCCAGGGAGCAGAGCACGGCGCACACAGCGCCCAGGGAGCAGAGCACGGCACACACAGCGCCGCCCAGGGAGCAGAGCACGGCACACACAGCGCCGCCCAGGGTGCAGAGCACGGCACACACAGCGCCGCCCAGGGAGCAGAGCATGGCACACACAGCGCCGCCCAGGGAGCAGAGCACGGCACACACAGCGCCGCCCAGGGAGCAGAGCATGGCACACACAGCGCCGCCCAGGGAGCAGAGCACAGCACACACAGCGCCGCCCAGGGAGCAGAGCATGGCACACACAGCGCCGCCCAGGGAGCAGAGCACAGCACACACAGCGCCGCCCAGGGAGCAGAGCACGGCACACACAGCGCCGCCCAGGGAGCAGAGCACGGCACACACAGCGCCCAGGGAGCAGAGCATGGCACACACAGCGCCCAGGGAGCAGAGCAGGAAGGCAGCCTGTCCTCGTTACCAAGCAGCAAGCGCCCTGTTGTCTGCATTTGCTTCACAAGAGACCAAACACGGGAGACAGTCACAGAGCACACCGCGGCAGGGAGACTAATATGACTCGGCCACGAATCCTGAGTGAGTGCTGAGGGCTGTGGGGTCATCGCTGGAGCAGGCGCAGAGGCGCTGGTCCAGTCTGCAGAGAGGGGCCCGCTCCCGCCCCCACACCCGGGGCCCTCACCTTCGAAGAGGGAGTAGGGCCTGTCAGGGATGCGGCATCCGTGGGCACCGTAGTCCAGACACCACTCTGCAAACTAAGGAGACATTGCTTGTCAAGGCTGAGAGGTCACCCAGGAGGCAGCAAAGCAGACACTCGACGCCCCGCGCCCCCCCCCCCCCCATGCCACAGCCAGGAGGCTGTGCCCAGTGCAGAGGGCAGGGCGTGGGCTCTGTGCTGGGCCCTGTCCCTCCTCTTAGCGGGGTATCTGCTGTAGGGATGCCACCCAGGCTGAGCCTGGGAACTGCGGGGGGGGGGGGGGGGGGGGAGGAGGGAGGGGGGAGGGAGGGGGCAGGCGTCCCTGATGGGGACCAGCTGAGCCGCGGGGAGAGGAGAGCAGGGCAGGGCTCGGGGTTCGGGAGCAGGAGAGGGTCTGACTCCGGGGTGCAGTGGGCGGCGGCAGGACCGGCTGTGCCTGAGGGAGGAGGGGAGCTGCGCTGTCCGGGCAGAGCTCACCTTGCAGGCGCGGTAGAGGTGCTTCCTGTCCTGGGTGAGGTGGTACAGGGACAGGAAGGAGTAGCCGTTGCCGGCTGTGCCGTGGCAGAGCCCGTAGCCCTTGCGCAGCAGGCCGCGCTGCCAGATGACATCGCTGCACTCCACGGCGTCCTTCAGGTACTTCTCCTCCTTGAACACCTGGCGGGAGGAGGCGGGAGGAGGCTCAGGGAGCCAGCGAGACCTGCCCGTCCCCTCAGGAGCCACAGGACGCTCGGCTGCCTGGGGGCCTGGACAGACACACCCTCCTCCTGACAGCACCCCTCCTCCTGATGGCCCTGGACAGACAGCCACCCCCTCCTGATGGCCCTGGACAGATCACACCCCTCCTCCTGACAGTACCCCTCCTCCTGATGGCCCTGGGCAGATCACACCCCTCCTCCTGACAGTACCCCTCCTCCTGATGGCCCTGGGCAGACACACCCCTCCTCCTGACAGTACCCCTCCTCCTGATGGCCCTGGACAGATCACACCCCTCCTCCTGACAGTACCCCTCCTCCTGATGGCCCTGGGCAGACACACCCCTCCTCCTAGAGCAGCTCCTACAGCCTCAGTCTGTTCTGTGTCCCCGTCCCCCTTGCACTTGACCGCAGGAAATGCTGACCGAGGCCACGGAGGAGCGGGAGGGGAGGACGGCACTGACCTTGTGCGCCTGCATGAGCATGTGGATGACCCCCGAGGCCCCGTGGCACCAGTGGACCAGCCGGTCCGTTTCGTTGCTGAGGGACGACGGGTAATTGCCGGAGCGGAAGCGCTTGTGGCGGACATAGTCAATGCTGGGCTTCACCATCTCGGCCAGCGTTTCCTGGTCCACTTTTGCTGCTGGCTTTAAACAAAATACAACATTTAACCTACTTTTTTAAAGTTTCTTCTTTTCTTTCAGAAAACCTCTATCTATGGCTAATATCAATTACCTGGAATACTGAGAAGCACATAAAATTAGAATCAATTCAGTTATTGGGTTAATTAAGTCCAGGGCACATCTTCCACCCATTTAAGTATAAACCTCACCCAAAACACCTCACAGAAACGTTCAGAATAATGTTTGACCACACCTCTCGGCACTCGTAAAGTTAACACAGATGGCTGGCCTGTCTCTTTTTTAAATATATACATTTATTGACTTGTATCAATAAATGTATATATTACAGCCAGCACTGTTCTCTCTAATACATTATTAGAGAGTCTGTCTGGTGTATTTTTCTTTTTCTTTACATGCACACACTGAAACATTTTATCTCTTTCTGTACATTTGTAATGATAAAGCTTAAAATGCTTACTCTATGAAGCCGCACACGTGAGGAATATACATAAATGATTTATCTTACAGAAACTAAAGGTGAAAACGTCTTCCACACCCTGAGCTCAGGGTGTGGCGGCCAGGCTCTCCCCAGCTGGGCACTGTGCGTCTCCCAGAGAACGATGACCCACCACGCCCGTCTCCCCTCCCCCAGGCCGGGGGGCACAAGGCCCCGGGCTCGCGGGCGCTCTGCCCGATGGGGGCAGGGATCCTCCGCAGCGGCAGGCCCCCACCGGCCAGCGGGCGGAGAACCCGATCTGCGCAGACTGCCTGCGACCGAGCTCCCGGCGCTCACTGCTGGGTGAGTGCAGCAGGCTGAGGGGTCCTGGCTCAGAGGGCCGTTATTGCAGCCTGCCTGGTCTGTGACCACGTTTAGCTCCGTTTTCCTAGCCCATCTCCTGCTTTATGTCCGCCCGCCGTGGTCAGTGTTTAGAGCGTCTCCCACCTGCATCAGCATGTAGTAGATGCCGGCCATGCCGTGGGCGGCCCCCACGTACTGCTTCCGGTGCCACTGGTACAGCAGGGGGCAGCGCTCCGCCTTCCTCTCCTCCCTCGACAGGGCCTTGCCCGACTCAACGATAGCAGTGACGACCTGCAGAGATAAGACACAGCGTACCTCTGGAAAACTTACGTGTGTCCTGTTTTACTGAGACCACTAACAGCATGAACTTAGATATCTTCATCTATAAATCTCTAAGCACTCAGCAGCCAGCACTGTTCTTTATTTTGTAAATTAACAAATATAGGCAGAGAGAAATCAGTAGACAATCGTAGAGTAGAAAAAGTCAAACCACCAAACCAAAACTTTTATGCATAAAAAGTTTCCTATAAAAATATTCTAGACTACTTAGTTACTTTGTAGCTGTAATGTTTTCCCCAAAAGACTGGTGACCTCCCATAAAATGCTGCGGGAACGGCTGTGTGTGGGAAAAGCTGCGGGAATGGCTGTGTGGGAAAAGCTGCGGGAACGGCTGTGTGTGGGAAAAGCTAGTGACATGAGGCTGCTGTGACATGCAGAGCCTTAGTTAGATAAAAAGAAGACCTGAATGGCTGTACTGAGGCTGGAGTGCAGATCCTGCCTGGCTCTAACATCCTGACTCCCGTCACACTTCTGGTCCCTGTGGTACAAGTTTAACTGGGCCTCCTGGCCTCTTAACCCCGTGGCTGAGTTCTGTGTGTGGGATGGGAGCAGAGCTGAGAGGAGCAGCTTCTTGTTCTTGGCCTGACAAGGAAGCTGCGCATTCTCCACTCACTAACTTGTCCCCGCGCACAGGTGCTCACCCAGCTTGGGCCATGCAGACAAGGGCACGGCCCCAGGATGTGGGCAAACAAGATAGAGGGACCGCCCACCGGTTCAGACATCTCCTGAAAGGCAAACATGCTACCTTCCTGAAGCTGGGGCTGTTTGATTCTAGTGAAAACACTGACTAAGAAGAGTACAGGTTAAAAACTCCCACACGTTCCTGGAAGACGCAGGAAGGAGCTACGCATTAGCTACGATCTGCTTTTAGAAGTTACTGTTCTTAGGGCAAGGAGACCCTACCTCTCTGACCGCCGACTCAGACACGGTGCCCGGCCCAATCTCCGTGTTCAGGTAGAGGAGGGCGTACAGGTACCCGGCCCGGCCATAAAGCAGCTCATCGGGGAGGTCCGAATCTTGGCAGACGATGGATTTCTGGAGCTGCAAAAGTCTACCCAACGAGTAAGTGTCTTTTCCCAGGGAAGGTCTTGGCTACCTTCCTGAAACTGTGATTAACTGTTAGTTATTTTCAACTTAAATGGTTTAAAGAAATACCAAAAACCAGAAAAGAAAACCTTTTCCATTTCACTCATTTCTCGCTCAGATATTACAGTGAGTAACAAAACGTTGTTATGGTGAAAATGTCTACTGTGCATCCACCCTACACCATGGAAGAGAAGATACTCAATTTTGAAATCCAGAATTAGAAGGAAGTGAATTGTCTGTCGTTCAATAAACAGGAACAGCCCAGCCTGAGCTGGGGACCACGGCCTCGGCAGTGAGTGCTGGCCTCTGCTTCTCCCGAGAAGAACAGAAGCCGATAGATGCACAAAATGTGGCCGCTCTACCTGTCCCACTGCAATGGAACCGAGAACAACTTCCTCACCCTAGGTCTGAGGCATACAGGCACCTTTCCGTGCACCGAAGGCGCCGAAAGTTACACAGAAAAATGATGAAAGTAACGCAAAGAAACACGTGTCCTGTCCCCTGCTTGCCCCCCTCTCTCCCCACGTTAAGGCCAGCACAGTGTGGGTAAAAAGGAGCACACGATCCCACACCTGCTCAGAATTCACACACCGACTCTTCCCTTCTCGAGGAGGTCTGTAGCCGGCGAGTTAACAATGGCTTCCTTTTGGATACCTTCTGACACAGGGCCTCCCGCTGAGAGTCTGGAGGAGACCTCAGCGCTAAGCACTCACTTTGCGATGCACTCCTGGGACTCGCCGTCGCTCTTGAGCTTGTGGTACACCACCGCACCCACGGCCAGCGGCCCCGCGTCTCCGCAGAGGAACGTGACCCTGCGGCCGCTCAGGTTCCGAAGCGTCCTCTTGACGTAATCCAGGGACCGCAGCAGGTGGGTCTGGTCACCTGTCACCCGGTGCAGCTGCAGGTACAGCAGCGCTATGCCTGGGAAATGCCGGGAAGAGCGTTAACCCCTCTCCCTGCACGGTGAGGGCATTGTTTTACATTTACGTGAAAACTACAGAAAACCTGTACTTCTGAACGGCAACAGGATAGACTTACAAAAAAAACTCAGGGCGGAAAAACGGCTGGCCCTGGGGCAAGCCTGCTCTTAGCACCCATTTCTGTAGACGCCGTACATTAGGGCAAATCACGTGACAAACACGTAGCAGACGACATGTCAAGCTTCCAACTTCCAGGCAAAATGTTTTAGAAATAAAATTCTAAAGCATCTCCTCTGGGAAGACAGTTCAAAACCTCATGGGAAAGGTACAGAACTTCACCATTTTACAGGAGAAAGACTTTTACACCCAAGTCTTATGTATCATCATCCAAGAATAGAACACAGTAGTCACGCCCCTCGCCCCCAGCTCTCACCTGTCCAGCCAGTGTAAGCAGAGCAGTCATGTGGGTCGGCCGTCTTCAGCCCTTCTTCCATCTGCTGAAGCAGATCTTTGATTTTGGTCTGGATCCGCCTTGTGAAGGTGGGAATGATCTGAGAACCAGAGGACATCGATATAAACGGCACAGGAGTAGGACAATGTTGTGATAAATCCATTACCAGTCTAAGTCGTGAGAATGTTAATAGACCGAAGCTACACTGCCTGGCCCACTTTAATGCTTCGCAGGTTGGAGAGTGTGTCTTGGCTTGTTAAGGTAAGTTTTTAAATGAGATAATGCCCCACACACGATAAGCCTTAGGTAGGATTACACAAAAGAAGTTGCAGAACCAAAGGAACAAAACCATTGAAAGGTGGTGGATGTGATTACACAGATGTTTCAACTTCTGTAAGTTAAAGGGAATAAGAAAGATGGTTTAAAGGTTAATGACAAAAACCTGCAGACACAGACAACAGCATGATGGTGACCAGAGGGGGCAAAGGGGATGGGGCAGGTAGGAGAGGGTAAAGGTTGGGGGGAATTGGGGGCAACCAGGCCAGCAAGGGGGGTAGTAAGGGGCAACCAGCTCGGGGGGGGGGGGGGGGGGGCAGTTGGTTGTAACCAGGCTGACAGGCAGAGGCAATTAGGGATGATCAGGCTGTCAGGCAGGTGAGCAGTTAGGAGCCAGCAGTCCCGGATTGTGAAAGGGATGTCCGAATGCCGGTTTAGGCCCAATCCCAGATTGGAGAGGGTGCAGACTGGGCTGAGGGGAATTTCGTGCACTGGGCCTCTAGTTTTAACAATAAAAATGTAGTAATTAGCCAATCATAAAGTATCTCTATGGAAGATAGTGGAACTTAATCCATCTTCATTTTATCTTGTGACTTTCCCCCTTTTAACATCACAACTCGCCCCTCCTTCATGTCTAAGAACACAATTCCCACTTGCCCTTTCCTCCCACTGACATCGGTCCCGCCCTGACGAGTTCACTGTCTCACTGCACAGAGAGAAAATACAAGCCGCATGAATCATTGGTGCTTTAACTTCCTTTTATACCAATCCCTTCGGTATAGGCACCCGTGAGCAAAAGCAGGTTTACAGTGGTTCGCACAGAAACATATAATCAATAACAAGTGACAACACAAGAACAAACATTGTTTTGTGAACTCACAGCTGTAAACCCACCTTTGCCCAGCCCTGCAGCTGGGGTAAAAATCACATTCACTACCGTATTCACTTACCGTAAACATAAGTTTAGGCCTATATTCGCTGTATAAGACCACCCCCCACTTCCGAGGCAACACCAGTTCTTTTTTTAATAGACCATCTCTCTGACTCTGGCCAATCTGAGCAGGCTTTTTACTAGAACACAGTGTACATGTTCTGTACCTGAAGCTACACAGTGTACATGTTCTGTACCCGAAGCTACACTGTGAACATGTTCTGTACCAGAAGCTACACTGTGTTCTAGTAAAAAGCCTGCTCAGATTGGCCGGAGTCAGAGAGGCGGTCTATTAAAAAAAGAACTGGTGTTGCCGCGGAAGTGGGGGGTGGTCTTATACAGCGAATATAGGCCTAAACCTAGGTTTTAACTGTAAAATTAGGGGGTCGTCTTATACATCGGGAAATATGGTACATACAAAGGGTAAAAAGAAAGAAAAAAGTCATTTTCATGGTCAGCATTTCTCTCATTCTGTGGGCAGAAATGAAACACCGGCTCCAGCCCCTTGACTGTTCCCACGGAGGCTCCGCCCAGTGGGGGGCTCGCTTCAGGCACCCTCACCAACCTTCGCAGTGGTTGAGAGCTACTGGTGGCAAGCATGAACGTTTGCCAGCGGTCAGTATAAACTTTTTACCATAAAAAATGCGAACCCTGCCCTAACCAGTGTGGCTCAGAGGATAGAGCAGCGACTTGCAGACTGAAAGGACCCAGGTTCAATTCCCATCAAGGGCATGTACCTTGTTTGCGGGCACATCCCCAGTGAGGGGTGTGCAGGAGGCAACTGATCGGTGTTTCTCTCTCATCGATGTTTCTGACTCTCTATCCCTCTCCCTTCCTCTCTAAAAAATCAATAAAATATATATTTTTTAAAAAAGCGTGAACCTAAGCGACACATATAACATGCGAACAGAGGATGCCGGCGGCCCGGGAACACCGGAGCCGGTTCGCAGCGCGCGTTTGGCTCCTGCAGGCAGTGAAGGGCATCGCTGCCATCCAACCGGCGCCTTCGCCCCGCCAGCCCCGAGCAGACCCTCCGCCGGGCACTTCCAAGGCTGAGGGCCCGGGGCGCCAGGCGGGGAAGGCGGCCCCACCTGGCAGGGCCCGCCCGCCTGGGGCTGGCGGCCCGGAGGGACCCAGCAGGGCGGAAGGACCGGCTCCCCGAGCCAGGCCGAGGCCGGACGCAGGCCGGTCCAGCGCGCGGCGCGCAGGTGGGCGGGGCCGGTGACGCCAGCGCGCAGATGGGCGGGGTCGACGTCGACGCACGGGTAGGCGGGGCGGGTGACGTCAGTCCGCGGTGGGCGGGGCGGGTGGACGCTACCACCGCCCGGCTCCCCCCGCCCGGCGCGGCCCAGGCCCGGCCCTCGGCGCCGCCGCTCACCTTCCCGTCGTCGTGAAACGGGAGGCCGAGCCCGTCGGGGGCGGGCGCGGGGCTGGCGTCGTCCGCGTCCTCGGCCGCGGCGGAGGCGGCGGCGTCGGCGGAGGCGGCGGCCTCGTAGTCCGGGAAGCGGTTGGCGAACGCGCGCTCCTCCATCTCCGCCTCGGCGCCCAGGTGCAGGCGCAGCCGCTTGGACATGGTCTCGCCCATCGCCGCGCGGCGGGGCCGCGCCGGAGCCGCGCGGGCGGACGGAGCGCGCGCGGGGACAAACCTCCGGCGCGGGCGGCGTTCGCCGGCCGCTGGCGCCCGCGGGCCGGTTCCTAGGCGGGCGGCGGGCGGCGGGCGCGGGCGCGGGGGCCTGGGCGCGGGGCCGCGGGCCGGCACATCGGCCCCGGCGGCGCGCCCCCCGGGGGCCCGCCCGGCCGGACGCTGCTGCCGGGGCGCCGGGCGGCTCCGAGCCCGGCCCCGGCCGCCGCCCGGTGCCTGTGCCGCCCGGTGCCTCGCCGCCCGCCGGGGCCCCGGCTGGAAGCGCCGCCCGCGGGAGCCTGCAGCGGGCGCGCCGGCACCGCCCCGCAGGTCCTCCCGCCGGGCGGGGGCCCGGGCCCGGAGCAGCGCGGGTTCCGATCCCGGAGAAACTCCTCCAGAAAAGGCCACCAGCCCCGCCGCCGCGGACGGAGCCGGGAGCGCGCGGCCCCTCCTATCCCGCCGCTGGGAGGGGGTCGGGGGAGGAGCCACCGGCCTGTCTGTCTCTGTCTGCCTCCCCAAACCCGTTCTTTTCAGCCCCTTTGTTTGGAATGCACGTGTGTCTTCGTTAACCGGACAGAACGTGGGAGCATATTTAACCCGAATCTCCCGGCGCCGCCGGGGGTTCCCGGGCGCTAATGGCCCGGCAGCTGTCAGCTGTCAGCAGAGGACCCGCCTTCCCTCCGCGGACAGGGCTGCTGCTCTGTCCTGCTTCTTCCATCCTTTGGAACCACATCGATGCAGCGATTTCTCCTCCTTTTAGGGAAATATTTCACTTTTTTTCCCCTTCCCCATTTAACAGCCATTGAGCGCCCGTGAGTGCCAGGCGATGACGGCACAGATGGAAGGGACTCCCATGGGGTGGGGGAGAGGGAAGGGTTACAGGACACACCGTGTGGGGCCTTTTCTGGGGCCCAGCAAGGGGCACATGGACACAGACAGGGACAGTGTGGCGGAAAGCGGGTCCCAGCCCCGGGAAGGCGGGCGGAGGCCTGGCTCCCCTCACAGGAGGCTGACACGTGTCCGGGAATCATCCTAAAGGGGTTACTGAGCCCATGTCCCCAGGGCTGAAGGGAGCAGCTGGTGCCGCAGGGACCTGCTAAGGAGGCATCATTGAGGCCCCGCCCACTTTCCTCTCTCTCTCAAAAATATATTTTATTGATTTTTTTTTACAGAGGAAGGGAGAGGGATAGAGAGTAACATCAATGAGAGAGAAATATCCATCAGCTGCCTCCTGCATGCCCCCCACTGGGGATGTGCCCACAACCAAGGAACATGCCCTTGACTGGAATTGAACCCTGGACCCTTCGGTCCCCAGGCCGACGCTCCATCCACTGAGCCACACCAGCCAGGGCTCTCCCTCTTTCTAAAATCCGTAAAAACATATCCTTGGGTGAGGATTAATCAAAAAAACATACCTTGAGACAAATGAGAATGAAATATAACAACACGAAAGCCTTTAGAAGATCATAGTTATAAATGCTTATGTTCGGAAAAAAGAAAGATCTCAAACAACTTCACTGGCCAAGAAGAGAACGTCTGAAGGCAGAGCCAGGAGGTGAAGGCAGTCCCAGGGCGCGGCCACGTGCTGCCCGGGCCTGGCCGGTGTGGGTGCGGGGAGCACCCTGTCACTCCTCAAGAGGCCTTGGCGTGAGTGCTTGCCTGCGCTGCGGACACACACCTCCAGGGCTGGGCCTCTTGGCCAGCAGCAGGCCCTGTGGGGACAGAGTGGAGCTAGGGTGTGAGCCATACCAACTTCTCTGCAGCAAAGAGACTCCCTCCTAGCCCGTGTGGGCCAACCCGGGGGAGACCCCCCCCTGGGGAGACCTACGAGGGCAGGGACAGGTCCGCTCTGGGCGCAGACCCTGAGGGGTGTGTCTCCAGAGAACTGGCAGACAACAATAAAAACGACAGGACCCTGGTGCTCACCCCGGCGATGCAGCATCCGGTTATACCGGGCGGGACAGGAGACGGGGGCGAGGCTGTGCTACAGCATCACAGAACAGTCTGCGTCGTTATTTCGTTGTTTCTCTCCCTGAGCTACAGCGCCCCGAGGGCAGGGTTGTGTTTGTATCGTTATTACTTTACCGTGGCCTCACAGTGCGGGCACGTCAGAGGCATTTAAAATATTTCATGGATGAATGCATGGATGGTGGCTGGCTGGCTGGCTGGACCGGTGAATGAGGGAATGAATGGAATGATTTCGTCTGAAAAGGCCTTGGAGAATGAGATTAAGCTGACTTATCATTTGTACATGACTTTTCCATTTTTAAAGGACTTTAACATTCCTATTTGAGCAGCTAATGTCTGTGTGACTGAGGGTGGCGGCCATTCAGAGTGGCCCAGGCTGTGCCCACACAGGACCCGCATATGAACAGGCCACACGAAGACCCGCATATGAACCAGGTCACCGTTTGATTCTGTCAGGGCACATGTCTGGGTTATGGGCTCTATGCCCAGTGGGGGCCATGCAGGAGGCAGTAAATAGAAGATTCTCTCCCTCTCCCTTCCTCTCAAACCCCTTATTATCCACTGGCAGGACGGGGATCAGAAGCAGCCTCCGACTTGTCCCATCTCATCCACTTCCTACTTTCCCGATGAAGAACCCGAGGCCACGGCGGTAAAAGAACGCTCACAGGGTTACACAACAGGCCACACGAAGACAAAATCACGGAAACCTGTCTGGTAAAAACAGCTGTTGCCCGTTTGGCTCAGTGGATAGAGCGTTGGCCTGCGGACTGAGGGGTCCCGGGTTCGATTTGGGTCAAGGGCACAGGCCTGGGTTGCAGGCTGGATCCCCAGTAGGGGGCGTGCAGGAGGCAACTGATCAATGATTCTCATCATTGATGTTTCTATCTCCTCCTTCCTCTCTGAAATCATACACACACACACACACACACACACACACTGAGTGGCCAGATTATTATGATCTCTGACTGCATAATAATCTGGCCACTCTGTGTGTGTGTGTGTGTGTGTGTGTGTATAAATTATTGTAAAAAACAAACAAAAAGACCCCAGCCGTATTCCCTTCAATTATTCTCCTTCGGTCTTTCACTCTGACCCACAGCAGGCTCCTCGGCGGCTGTTGAAACACATCTTCTTGCCGGCCAGCCGGACTGGCTGCAGTTGAGCACCTGCATATGAACCAGGTCACCGTTTGATTCTGTCAGGGCACATGTCTGGGTTATGGGCTCTATGCCCAGTGGGGGCCATGCAGGAGGCAGTAAACAGAAGATTCTCTCCCTCTCCCTTCCTCTCAAACCCCTTATTTTTCAGCAACATGGAAACGGGGACCCAGGACATAGCTGGGACGTGGCGGGAGCAGAGCAGGCACCTGCCTATGGCTCAGGCCCATTGGGGACTAACCCACGTGGGTCCACAGAACAGCTTGACGGTGGCCCTCCCCAGCAGTAAGAGTCTCATGCTTTAGTCCGGCAGGCCTGGCTCAGGTGTTGAGCATCCACCTATGAACCAGGAGGTCACGGTTCAATCCCCCGTCAGGGCACTTGCTGGGATTGTGGGCTCGATCCCCGGGGGGGGGGGGGGGCGTGCAGGAGGCAGCCTATCCAGGATTCTCTCTCATCATTGATGTTTCTTTCTCTCTCTCCTCCTTCCTCTCTGAAATCAATAAAAATATATATTAAAAAAGTCTCATGCTTTAGAATCTAAAGTTTAGATAATACACAACCTATACACCTATAGTGAAAAAGTTAAAGAGCCCAGCAGTGGACAGTGTGTGTGTGTGGAGGGGGATTGCTCTGCAATCTGGGGCTTGTTGCCTCCAAGGATTCAGGCCCCGGGGAAGACTGTCACGCTGTCACACGCCCTCGGAAATCCCAGATGCTGAGTCTCCCTGGTCCCCGGCGTCTCCCAGGAGGACGTCGAACCGGGATGAAGTAGGCGGGCCGGGGTTCCATTGCTTCTGCGCTGGGTGCGAGGGTGTCCCGGTCCCAAACCTTGGCAAGAACGTGCGATTGATCTCCAGGCTCTGGGGAACAGACCCTGGGGAACAGAACTGCGGACTCCTCCTCAGACTGCACTCTGGGAGGCACCACGGAGGCCGGGGAGGGGGCCCACCTGGAGGGTGTCGGGGGGTCACTCGGGGGAGAGCTGGGCTGGCATTTGGCTCCTTCACGTCTGAGTGTGGCTAACTCCCCACCCTGCCATTTCCAGTCCTGCCACCTGCCAGAGAAGGGCCTGGTTCTCTGTGTTGTACCTGCCACAGCCCACCAGCAGGGGGCACCATCGCGCCATTGGCGTTTGCAGGACCGCTGGGGCGGGGCGGCTGGCATTCGTGAGTGATGAACACGTTATGGATCCTGCACCCCGGGATGGACGGACAGACAGGGAGTGCCCGACGGCGCTGGCTCCTGAGGCCGATGCCCCGGAGGCAGCGCACACGGAAGCTGGGTTTAGGCTGGGTGAGCACAGGGAACACCGAGGTCCGTCCCGGTGTTACTTCCAGGCTCAGGAACGCCTGGAGGCACCAAGAGAGGATCAGGTGGCAGCAGCGGACTCATCCTCTCTCTTACTTTATGTTTAAAGTTTTTTGTTATCTTCACTTAGGGCACTCGGCACACGCTGGTTGGTGGTTTCCTGTAAGGCACATGATGAGGGACTTGGGAATCTGGGCTGAGGGTACTTGGCAGGTGCTGATTGGTGGTTTCCTGTAAGGCACATGATGAGGGACTTGGGAATCTGGGCTGAGGGTACTTGGCAGGTACTGATTGGCGGTTCAGTGTCCAGTCCATGTGAGGTGCCTGGTCAGGTGCTCAGGAATGTCCGCCTGCAGGTGGAGTTTCCGTCATTCTCCGTCCACCAGTTGGGGGAAGGGAGGGCCTGTCAGGAGCGGGTGGTATTCTTGGAGGGGTTTCCGTTGCAAACTCCTCATTACCCGCTCCTCAGCACCCCCCCCCCCCTGACTTCCCTCCTGGAGCCGGCAGACTCCTACCTCCCCCGGCCAGGCCGCGCCCAGGCCTGGGGCTGCGGGTGTCTCCCGGGCCTCCCCACCCACGTCTCTGCTTCTGCCCAGCGATCTCCACGTGCACCCCCCCCCCCCCCCAGC